TGTATGGTAAAGGGTTCCTCGTAATAATAATTCATGACTAGAGGAAACTACAAATACCATAACTGTGTTTTCTTACTCATGAAATCGTACCCCAGTATAATTCTTCCATAGAGGAATGGTGTTGAGCCAGTGCATAAATTGTGGGGGAAATTTGACAGCATTGGAATAAATGTAAATGAAGAAAGTCCAGACGATTCTTTTACTCAGGAGCAATACCTGAAAGATGTAAAATTTGGAAAACTGGACAATAAATGGGTACGACTTCCGTGCAGACTGAACCATCCAGAATTGCCCACTAATTACAGAATGGCATATGGACAATTAAAGGCTCAGCTCCGCGAACTGAGTAAGACACCAGAATTGTTAACTGCCCATAATGATTTTAATTGCTGAGCAGTTTTTAAATTTAATTTAAAATTATAGAAGAGGTACTCCTGAGCAAGCCAAAAATTTTTGGTCGCTATTTGCCACATCACGGAAATGAAGAAGGATTCTAAGACCACTCCTCTAAGAATTGTGTTTAATTGTAGTGCCAGGAGTAACAAAAATGTACCTAGTTTAAATGACTGTTTGATGACAGGTCCTTCGTTTGACGGAAAAAAATTTGGAGATATCTTATTAAATTTCAGAGTGAAGCATTATGCCTTTACGGCTGACGTAAAATAAAGCTTTCCTAAGAGTGGGTTTACAAGAGGCTGACAGGGATTGTACCCGCTTCTTTTGGCCTGAGAATCCCATTGACCCACTTAGCCCTCTGAAAACCTTCGCTTCAGGAGCGTATTATTTGGTGCTACATCCAGTCCGTTCCTACTTCAAACAACGATAAATGCACACCTTAAACGTATGGGAAGTCCCATTGAGTAAAGTAATGAGCAAACAATTTTATGTGGACAATTTCCTGGGGGTGACGTCAATGAAGAGGAACATTAATGACTTATGGAAGAGGCTAATAAAAAATAATGCAAGGTGCAAATATGCCTCTGAGGGAAATGGAATAAATAATTCGTCCAAATTAAAGGACAAAATAAGTAAAGATTACCCTGGAGATGAAGTGCCAAAATGTAGTAATGTTTTGGGATTAACTTGGGATACTGAGAGAGATTTGTTTAAAGTTAAAAACCTAATAATTACGTATGCCCAATAAATTAACTAAGAGAGTTTTGCTTGCTGAAGTTTCCAAATGTTTTGATCCACTAGGTTTAGTGTCACCCCTTACTATAAGGGGAAATTATTAATTCAGGAAGCATGGAAACTTAAATGTGCTTGGGATGAAATTCTACCTGAGGAATTCATTAACAGGTGGGATGAATTAATTGGGGATTATGAAAAAATTCCAATATTGGAGTTCCCACGCCAGGTGGCCAATCCAAATGGGAAAAAGTACTCCACATTTTTGTGATGCTTCAAAATTGGCATATGGAGCAGTTGCTTATCTTCAATGTAATAGTGTTATTTGTCTTGTTATGTCTAAGGCTAAAGTGTCTCCAATTAAATCACGTACCTTTCCCCAGTTGGGAAATTTAAAAGCCATTTATGTAGGTGTCAAATTACTAATTATATAAGAAATAAGTTGCAGGAGATAAATATTAGCGACACTGTAATTTGGTCTGATAATGAGGTATCCTTACAATGGATTCGTTTAAAGGAAACAGTAAAATTGTGTACGTACAAAACAGAGTCGCTGAAATTAATCAGATGCAAGAGAAGTTTTAATAGTTTGGTCAGAAAATGTTAACATTTAATCATATACCTGGTGAGAGAATCCAGCTGATTTCTTGTCTCGAGGTTTACCTTATGCTAAATTTGTAAATGCTGTATCATGGTTTAAAGGACCGAGCTGGTTGATAAAGCTAATTGGCCTGTACAAAAGGCGTATGTTGCTCCTGTTGAAATTACTGTGAACACCGCTCCAATAGTTTGTCCTTCCTTAGCCATTGATATAAATAGGTATTCTTCTTTACCCAAACTAATCAATGTAACTAAGTTGTTGTTTAAATTTCTAAACAAGATGAATATTTCATATAAGTTTTCACATCCTCTTGAATATTGGATAAAAGAGGGTACAAGAAAAATCATGGAAATGAGATTAAATTGATGATGGAAGAAAAAATTGTGAAAGGTTCCATAATAAGAAATTGGGGCTGTATTTAGAGAACAATGTAATTAGGTTTCAGAGGTAGGTTACAAAAGGCTGAATTGGGTGATTTTGCTAAACACCCTATCTTACTGGCCCAAAACTCATCATCTAACAAATTTAATTGTTCTAAATGCCCATAAAAATGTAATGCATGGTGGGGTACAAGATCCCCTTAAATTGTATTAGGGAAACTTTTTGAATTCCACAAAGGGGCGGCAAAGTGTAAAAAGGGTGATTAAATCTTGTGTAATATGTCGCCGTATGGATGCCAGATCCTATATGTACCCAGGTCCCCCACCATTTCAAATGAGCAATTTGGTCATTTAGCAACGAACTCCGGCCGGCCGCAGTTGGAAAAATACTGTATATATTTTCCAGAAATTCAGTAAGATGGCCATACTGTATTTAATAATATGTCATAGAAACGGAAAGCCTGCGTCTGCGCAGACAAGACTAGCCCCTCTTGTTTTGAATTGGATACAACGTTGGTGTAATGGGAAGAAATTTTTTTGTGCTCTAGAGGTTAAAATGTGTTGACACCCCTCAAATAGGAGGGGAAAATTGGTGGATGTGCATTCCTTTCATAACTTGAGATATCAGACGACTGGACAAGACAGCTCCAGGAACCTCAGATAAGCTCTCTAGATTTGTGTATAATTCTGGCCAGCATTATTTTCATAGATTTAGTTAGAGTGAGGTTTTCTGAGTATGATACACATTAATCTCCAGTCAAATTGGTGAGTGATATTAAGATATATTTTCCTTCTGTTATGTAATTGTGTTTATATATAAACCGTTTATTATTTTTAATATACAGTCCACAAATTTATATATTTACCAGTATTCCTGGTGTATGTATATTTCGTTTAATTAATAGGTCCAGAGCAACTTGTGGTTATGACAGTGGTAGGGATCGAAGGGGGACATTTTTGCGACCTAGGTGTCCCAAATTCCTACTTGTCTATGTAACATTGATAATAATAATTATCTTTGTTATCATTTACTGTTATGTACATAATTAGTTACATTCAGATAAATGCAATTTTCCACAGTTATGAAGGAAGATATTATGGCAGCCATGATTTCATTATGGCAGGCATGAAGGAACACATTATGGCAGTCATGAAGGAATGCATTATGGCAGTCATGAAGGAACACATTATGGCTGTGGAAAATTAAATTTACCTGAATGTAACTCATAAGATACATACCAGTAAATGGTAAAGATAATTATTCTTTGCCAAGGTTACAGAGACAAGTAGGAATTTTAGGACACTTAGGTCGCAAAAAATGTCCCCCTTCGTTACCTACTACAATCTATCTCTCCACAAGTCACTCTGGACCTATATTAATTTCAAATGAAATATACATCACCAGGAATTCTGGTAAAAACATTAATATAAATATGTGGACTGTATATTAAACTTAAAATGTGAATACAATACATTGAAGGCGAATTTATAATAAGACTCTCCAATTTGTGTGGAGATTATTTGGTGTATCATTTACAAACCTCCTGCCTAAATTATGAAGAAAATACTGGCCAGAATTTCAACATAAATAGACATCGACTTAGCTGGGGTTCCTGGACTGTCCTGTCCACTCGCCTAATGCTCACGTTATGCAGGACTGCAAATCCAAAATTTCTGCTTATTTGGGAGGTTTCAACCACAATTTAACCTCCAGAGCGACGAAATTTATGCACATTTCACTTGCGTGCCTTCAGCCCAGTTCAAAACAATTTTGTCTCTTCCCCAGCGACGCTCACCCATTTCGCTGCTTCTTTATTTATTTACAAATTAATTTTTATTATCTACAATATATTCCATCAATTTACATACAAAATACACTGTATTTTTGGAAAATATACAGTATTTTCTACAATGGCAGTCATGAAGGAACATATTATGGCAGTCATGAAGGAACACATTATGGCAGTCATGAAGGAACACATTATGGCAGTCATGAAGGAACACATTATGGCAGTCATGAAGGAACATATTATGGCAGTCATGAAGGAACACATTATGGCAGTCATGAAGGAACACATTATGGCAGTCATGAAGGAACACATTATGGCAGTCATGAAGGAACACATTATGGCAGTCATGAAGGAACACATTATGGCAGTCATGAAGGAACACATTATGGCAGTCATGAAGGAACACATTATGGCAGTCATGAAGGAACACATTATGGCAGTCATGAAGGAACACATTATGGCAGTCATGAAGGAACACATTATGGCAGTCATGAAGGAACACATTATGGCAGTCATGAAGGAACACATTATGGCAGTCATGAAGGAACACATTATGGCAGTCATGAAGGAACACATTATGGCAGTCATGAAGGAACACATTATGGCAGTCATGAAGGAACACATTATGGCAGTCATGAAGGAACACATTATGGCAGTCATGAAGGAACACATTATGGCAGTCATGAAGGAACACATTATGGCAGTCATGAAGGAACACATTATGGCAGTCATGAAGGAACACATTATGGAAGTCATGATAAAATTAGACAGATGTGGAACACTTGGTTATCTTTATTATGCAAACGTTTCGCCACACAGTGGCTTCATCAGTCCTGTACTAAGATGAATAGTGAAGGTCAGAAGGAGATTGAGGTTGTCAGTCCCTCAGCCTCGAGTATATGTAATCAGTCCATGAATATTGATAAGAATACATCATATGCGCGAAGAAGTGTAGAGAAGTGAAGTGAAGCAGTCGTAGGTGGTGTCACCTTGGACAAATCCACAGGTGGAAGCAGGTTATGGCTATGGATTAGATACTGAACTAATGAAGCCACTGTGTTAAAGTGTTAAAGCGAGCAACATATGTACATCTTACTGTACCTTCCATAGTTACCCAGCAGCGAGTTTCTCACTCAACGGTATCAGTGTTTGTTTCTAAAAATAGTTGTGAATTTAAAGAAGAGTAGGTAACCGTACACTAACAATTTCCACACTTTGTTGTCCTGTAGGATGGGCTGGGCAAGGTAGGACGGGCTGAGCAAGGTAGGGCGGGCTGGGCAAGGTAGGACGGGCTGGGCAAGGTAGGACGGACTGGGCAAGGTAGGACGGGCTGGGCAAGGCGCTGCCTCTTCACTTAACCTCTATCAAAACTCTACTTCTATTAGTGAATTAGTTTCTTTAAGGATTTCACTGTACAGCACACGGCAGTGATTTAGATGTTGAAACGAAGTGTAGTGATGACGCTGGATACTACGACATACACTAAGGAACAGTGATGGCCTTGGAGGCTGCCAACGGATGTGAGTGTTACACTTGCCATAATATCGTACAGCATTTAATTAAATATATCATCAAATTACATTAAAGTCTATATTCCATTATATTACGTATGACAAGGATATGCAATTATATTGTGAAGTATAAATATGATTTCCAGGTCCATAAATAATCGTACTGATTTGAGTTGCATTAATAAATTATTTACAGTTTTTAGTATAATTATTACTTACAAATGATATCTTCCACTGTATCACTTCTTTATAACATATATAATAACGTTGTGTTTTTAACGTAATAATCCAGGTTGGTGTATCCCCGCTGCCAGACGTGTCTTTCTATGCTTACATTTAATATCAAGGAGATTTTATAATGTATTTCAACCTATTATACAATATTTAATAGTTAATTTATTGTTGTCTTTGTTATATTCATGTATACTGCAGCGTGGCTACTCTGACTTAATATATACACTACACTGTGTGGCTACCCTGACTTACTATATACACTACACTGTGTGGCTACCCTGACTTACTATATACACTACACTGTGTGGCTACCCTGGCCTAATATATACACTACACTGTGTGGCTACCCTGGCCTAATATATACACTATACTGTGTGGCTACCCTGGCCTAATATATACACTACACTGTGTGGCTACCCATGTATACTCTGTATACACTACACTGTGTGGCTGCCCTGGCCTAATATATACACTACACTGTGTGGCTACCCTGACTAACTATATGCGTTACACTGTGTGACTACCCAGGTATACTATATATACACTACCCTGGCCTACTACATACATACACTGTGTGGCTACCCTGGCCTACTACATACACTACACTGTGTGGCTACCGTGAGTTAGTGGCATTGTTGAGTGGCCTTCAACACAATATCTTAGCTTCCTCACGTCCGTCGAGACAGTTACTCACTGTAGCTTATATTCCCACAGTTGACTTACTTAACTGATTTAACTTCTAAGGTTATATTGATGACTGATATCTACTGTATCTTACAGCCAGGCTTTAAATAATAAGATATAACTGGATCACAATTGAAATAAGTAACTTTGACTTTTTTGGATTATCGTGTGTTACTGTGTATGATTATTGTACTTATAAGTATACTTCTACGTAAATATATTAATTTACGTACTTAATTAATGGCTTGTTTATTTGCTTATTTGCTTGCTTGCATGCGTGCTTGCTTACTTATTTTTTTAATTATTTCCTTGCGTACTTTCTTATTTACTTTCTTGGTGCTTGCTTGCTTACACTCGGCACCTCAGTGTAGAGGGCGCCTCCCGGGACTGGGGTGTCGTATTGTCCCCCCAGTATCACAACACATGGTTTTGACGTGTGTAAACACAATACATCGCTTGCCCCTCTCTTGTTGTCAAAAAGCTCCACACGTATTTGTGTCTTTGTGATTTTATTCACTACAGTGTGGTTTATCCTCCCTTCCCCACGTCCTACCTGCTATTTAAACTATTCAGTTTTTTTATTGTTTACCGTACACCCCCAAAGGTCACCCCCAAATCAGCTAACAACAAGGGAAAAATACTTTGTGGGGTTTTTTTTGGGTTATCCGGTTCCTATTATATTGCGTTATGTATAATATAATCAAGAAACTGTTTTTGTGTATACCTCAATAAAATTTATTAGGGTGATCGATATAACCGTACTCTGTGTCACCCTTGATTTATAAAACGCAATGTGCGTTAAACTATTTTGTTAAAACGTCGTCCCTTTTTGCTTAATACACCCTTTTTTGCAGAGTTTTAGAAAATAGTGTAAAGAAAAAGTCCTATTAAAGTCGTTTACGGGTTTTGTTTTGAAAAACCGTGTGTATTAGTCGTGAAGAGTACCAGGCGGACAGGGAGGAGAGTTGTGGTGGGGGGGGTACTGGAAGAGGGCCATGAAATGGCCCAAACGGGTATGGAATTGCCCAGATTTGGGCCATTTCGTGGCCCCAAATTTTTAAAAAATTTGGCCATTTTTTTAACTTGTGGCCATAAATAAAATTTTTCCATTTATGCAAATGTGGCACTAAATTTGGGCCCTTTCTACAAATATTTAAATCTTGCGGTACTTAGTTTAATATTATCGCATTGTAAGGCTACTGTTTGGTACCCCTTTATGGGGGTTTTGGGTGGCGGGGACGCCCCTTGAGCAAATTCTCTTCGAAAAGTTTTTTCGAGACTTCATAAAGGCCCTTTGGTAGCTGGCTTATAGTTTGTTACTAAGACTCCCCTAATAACACCAAACATGCTTGAGCTTCGTTCTGTACTTGTATAAAACAAGTACACAAAGCTCCCGCTCGCTTTTGTTGCTATAAACTTGATCCACCTCTGGTGTAAATTGTGGGACCCATAGCCTCGGAGAAGTGGATAAAAAGGCTTCAAGGAAGAATATTTGGATTTCTTCCTGAAGCCGTTTGAATATTCCACTTCCCCTACCACCCCATCTTTTGATATATATATTTTTTTTACTAATAGGAATATTTTATTACATAATATGGTACAGAAGATTTAAGAGATACATTGTTGATATAAAGGTGGCATATACGGTACATGTTGTTACGTGTGTATCACCGATTATAAGGCGAAAATCTCATCCAGCTCCTCAGAGCTGGGGCGTGTGCCCAAAATACAGCAGGCATTACCCCTTTGAACAGCCGCACTGAGCCGCTGGAACAGAAAACTAGCTGCCCTGGGATCCCTAGTTACCCTGATGAGTCTTTTTCCCAGCTCCTTAAGGATTTAGATGCACTCTTTCCCCATGAGCCAAGGGTCTCTGAGCCTATGGAACAAACATATAATGATGGCAAGTTCTCCATATTTTCTAGATTTTTGGGACTCCCTGAAACTGGCAGCTGCCCCTCCTTCCTCCCTGGTGTATTGGAGATAGGTATCAGCCAAGGTAGATGCACATGTATAGTCCCCCCACACCACCTGCTTCCCATCTGTCCAGGCTTGAAGGGTGATACCATCTGGACGCTTCTGGCTGCCATCATATCTGCATAGTTGGGGTGGCTCCCTTACTGCTGGGCATCCAGCTGTTGTGAGGCTCCTCTTGATAATGTTATTAACCTCCTCATGTCTTGCAATCTTTCCCTCGGATTTACGGCACACAAGACCATGGTACCCGAATCGGTCTGCTGCTTCACTGCCACAAATACACCTGTGTTCGGCGAGAATAGGGGCGGCAAGTCGAAGGGCAACACCGATGCGGATGGTCTGTGGGTCGAGACGTGTGCCAAGGCTGGAGTTGGGAACAGGCAACAGAAAGTCCCCAGCATGAGGGGCTCTCACTGCCAGGAGGCGGGCTCTATCCTTCCCTGACACACTCTGAAGCATTGTTGAGGGCAATATTTTCCACTATTGGACCATCCCAGTGCGATTGTTTGTAGTTGTTGGGGGGAGCAGGTCTGGTTCCAGAGCCCGTTAGATTATCCCAGATCATTACCTCCGTCATTGAATTTTTGGTCCTGGACTCCAATCTTGTCCCTAAGATGTTCAGGGAGAATCGCTGCTACAAGCTCTTGGATGCAATTACACGAGGACAGAAAAGCAGGTAACGCAATCTGTGATGACTTGCGGACACCAATGCCTCCTAGTCTGACTGGAAGTGTAGCTTAGTTCCACTGCCCGTCTTCTAGAGTAAGGTTATGTACTTTCGTATAAAAATCTGCCTCAGAATACTGTCATATTCGTGGCAGTATAGGGTTATCATATGAAGGTGGCACATCTTAGGAAATATGTCACACTGGGCAGACTCAAGCACTTTGTGAGAAGGTACAAGGCATCGTGGGTGTCCAGATTGCCTAGATTCGTTGTTCCATTCTCCTTAACTCTTCCAATTTCTTCCTGAGAATTGTGTCAATGGCATTGCTTCCCAGAGGTGCTCCTAGCAAGACACTATTTGTGGGGGCAAATGACTGCTGCTCCTGGTAGTTTTGATCTCACTGCATTTATCACTTGTTGACTGACTGAGATGATTTCACATTTGGATGGATTCAGGATGAGACCCATTTCCTGTCCCCGTGTCATTACCTGTGTAAGGTCATGTAGGAGGGACTCTTTGTACTGCTAGTGTGCCATCATCTAGGAACCAGATGTTTAGCTCGCTGGTCAGTCTGACTGTGATTTCCTAACTGCTATACAGAGAGAAATTGTGCAAGAGGATCTCCTTGTTGGACACCCTCCGATGATGTAATTTCATGCTCTCCAAAGAGAAGCATTGATTCCTTGCTATACCCAGCTGAAACAAAAGGGAAGAGACCAGGGAAATGTTCTTGTACTGCTGCTAATACACGTCTCTTTTCAGGAGATTGAATGCATTCTTGAAATCTAATTTTACCACACTGCATTGTCCTCAGGCAGGTTGTTGATATACGCCCTTGTTGCATGAACCGCTGCTTCACTTCCTTGAGAGACCCCAAAGCCAAGCTGGTTTGGTTGAAGCATCATGGCTGCCTGTGCACGAATACTTCGGACAGCAGCTTTGGATACGAGGCGGCGTAAGGTGTTGCCTACTGCAATTGGCCGAATTCCTCCATCCTTCTTTTTAAGTGCACAAAGTGTTGCACCAAAAAAAGAAAGGTCTAATTTCATCAGGAATCAGACCAGCCAAGGAATTGTTGACGAACCTTGTGATCTCTGAAAGCAGTGTCTCTGCAATTCCCCCAATAACTGGATTAACCATTTCCTTTAAATGCTGTGGCCTTATTCCCAGCGGAGCCAGATGGGAACGACATTATTGCTTTGTAAATGTCTGAGTCTTCCACTATCAATGGTTCCATAGTGGGGAGAGAGGTGTTGGAACTGTTGGTGCCACTGGTTTCCCTGGCAGGGTGCTTTCCTCTAAGTGCTTCAGCCGTGTCAGCATCCCTGGGAGCAACTGTATCTTCACTGGTAATAATTCTTATTGCCCCCACTGTGTTGCCCTCTTCAATTTTCTTGC